TCTATTTAAATTGGCTATTATTCATACATATTTTTAGAAAGCTGAGGTTTTGAGTTGGGATTTGGCGTTGATTTCTTGCAAATTTGCATGAGGAATCGACCAGGATAATAAGTTTGCTAATCAATCGAAATATGCTCAGCGATCAGCTGAGTTTTAGCCAACAAATTAAAAAAGATAACGGAGAAAATAATATAAAATTAAAAAAGCTCATAAAAACAAAATAAAATAAAATAAAATAAAATAAAATGAAATAAAATAAAATAATATAAAATAAAATAAAATAATATAAAATAAAATAAAATAAAATAAAATAAAATAAAATAAAATAAAATAAAATAAAATAAAATAAAATAAAATAAAATAAAATAAAATAAAATAAAATAAAATAAAATAAAATAAAATAAAATAAAATAAAATAAAATAAAATAAAATAAAATAAAATAAAATAAAATAAAATAAAATAAAATAAAATAAAATAAAATAAAATAAAATAAAATAAAATAAAATAAAATAAAATAAAATAAAATAAAATAAAATAAAATAAAATAAAATAAAATAAAATAAAATAAAATAAAATAAAATAAAATAAAATAAAATAAAATAAAATAAAATAAAATAAAATAAAATAAAATAAAATAAAATAAAATAAAATAAAATAAAATAAAATAAAATAAAATAAAATAAAATAAAATAAAATAAAATAAAATAAAATAAAATAAAATAAAATAAAATAAAATAAAATAAAATAAAATAAAATAAAATAAAATAAAATAAAATAAAATAAAATAAAATAAAATAAAATAAAATAAAATAAAATAAAATAAAATAAAATAAAATAAAATAAAATAAAATAAAATAAAATAAAATAAAATAAAATAAAATAAATTTGTTAAATATAAAAGAATTAAAAAAAAGTAAAATTATTAAAATAAATAAAATAAATTTTCTTAATAAATCTACAGTGTAGAAGTTGTTGCTTTTGTTGTAACGGCTCAGTGTAGAAGTTAAATGGCACAGAAAAAAAATATTATAGACAGAATTCGATATATAGCGGGGATTCTTCTTCTAAAGGTCGAGAATCATTGATTCCAGAAATTAACTTTGTTAAGAATTTTTCTCAGATTACTTGTGCTCATACAAATTCAAACAGTTGCGGAAAATTTCATTGGCAGTGTGACATGGGCAAGGCAAAAGTAATCAATAAACAAATTGACCTAGAGTTCGGATTTTGAGAACAAAAGCCGAAAAAAGAAACCAATGCAAATAATAATAAATAAGCAATTCGGTGGAGTAGAAAAGACAGCCTTAATAATCGTTTGCTAGGAGTATACACACACAAGCGCACACACGACACCGGCCAGTGTCTTTCAACAAATGACAACAACTTTGGTGTGATCTGAACGACCACCTTGATTGTCGCATTGTTTTATTGGAAGGTGCAGCAGCATAGAGCGGTCAACCGTACGGAGGAATCTCTGACTGTGGCAACGCACGGCAACAGACGGCGCGTCATCATGAAAGCGCGACCACAAACAATTTATTTCGCTCATATTATTTTACTTGCTGTTTTTGCCACCAATAATTGTTCTTGTTGTTATTTGTTGTAGCTGTTGAGCGTTGAGCGTTGAGCGCATAGTGGCATTTTGTTTACCACACTCGAACATATGTACGTTGGCGGTCATTACACGCACATAAACACATTGAGAATTTATTGTATGGACTAATTTTTCGTTGTTGTTGTTGTTGCACTAATAGTTGGACTCTTTCGAGTGCAATGTGATTGTGTGGTGGCGGTCAGCTGGTTTTATTTGCTCGACGTGTTGGTGTTTTATTTAGTGGGCAGTCTGTTGGCGCACCCAGTTCAATGGGACTGCAGATTCTCTTGTAGTTTGAGTTTTCTGTATTGCATTTGACCATTTCTTACTATTTATAAAATTTTATTTATTTTTATTTATTTTTATTTTTTTCTTATTTTTTTACTTTTATTTTTTTTTTATTGTCTGTTTATTGATTTGTCTTTTATTGTTGCAACTGTATTGTTGAGCAATTAGTTGTGGTACTTTATGTGGTTGTCTTTGCTGCGCTTTGTTGTTGCGATCGTATAAGCTTGCATTGAAAGCGTAGCATTGGCTTGTGGCTGTGGATTTCAAGTGCTACTTTTCAGGTTTTAGTTATTTAATTTTAGTTTTATTTTTATATATATGTGGTGAGGAGGGTATTGTATATATATATATATATATATATATATATATATTTCATTTTATCCATCGACCGTCGTTAAGGTGAGTTAAGTTGTAGGTGGTTATGTAAAACACAATAAGCTGTGCAGACTTCTTTGTTGTTTGTGCTTTTATTTTTGAGTTTTTGTTTGCTGTAAATATTTCCGTATTCAGATAAAAAACAATGAATGAAGTGAACGAAAATTATAGTTTAATTTATAGTAAAAGATATATGAAAATATAGAAAATTTTAAATTATTTTCCTAAAATATTTTTATTATTTAAGATTTTATTTTAAAATTTTATTATTTTTTGGGAAATAATTTATTTGTGGTAAAAAATCTGGTTTTAAGAATTTCAAAAATTGTTTTTATATGAAAGTTAAATTCTGGAATATTTCTGTTTTGAAAATTTTAATTCCAAGACATTGAAAAATATAATTTTTAAAAATGCTATTTTTTATAATAGAAATATACAAAAACCAGGTTTATCCATTTCACGCTTCAGGGCTAAAAAGCATTTAAATTAATTTTTTTCAAGAAGTAAGGAAGTAAGTATGAAGTTGGGGGTAAATCTATATTGCGTCGTAAAATAGTCCCAATAGCCTTGGGAACGTCGAGAAATAGACACAGTCGAGTCTTCGGCGACACTTTCACTTATAAAAGCGATATTTGAGGTGGAACTGCTTAAGTGATTGAGGGTGATTTCTCACATATTTTGTCTAATAATTTTTCTCCTTCAATATTAAACTTTTCTTATTTAAAAAAATGTATGTGAAGCCTTAATAAAATTTAATTAAAAATTTTCCAAAAAAAAAAAAAAAGTTTTAGCAATTTCAAATAATAAAATTAATTTTAAAATAAATAGAATTAATTTGCGAGGAATTTTTATTATGATCCAAAAACTAAAAACTGCAAGTCAAATTTTTATTTCACAATTTCAAATCATTTTAAGCAGAAAAATATGAGCCAGCATTTGCTTCTTATTTATTTATTATTTAAGCGCATTAACCGGCCCCAATTCATAGTAAAATGGCGCACAGTGAAGTGAATACTAATTTATTTAAAATTTTTAATTAAAAAATCTTTAAATACTAAAGATAATCTAATCAGATTGCTGCAGCTTTATTTATTTTTTATTTAATAGTATTAACATAAAAGTTTTCAGGTAGACTTTTTAATTCATTTTAAATCGAAAACTTTACTGCTTTCGATTTGTCCCAACCCCAGTTGAGTTCCGGTTGAGTGATTGTTGTTGTCAAGATTGATTATTCGACTGTCGCCTTGTTGGTAATTAATCAGCAGTGAACTTTGTATATGAATATTGACAGTCGCTATGAATTGTCACTTAATGAGGTCTTAGTTTTTTCTATAATAAAGCGCTTTGGCTTACAGCTTAAGCCCACGCGCAAATATTGTCAGCGCTTGTAGAGCTAAGCTTTATTGGTAATAGCGTTTTTCGAGTTTAGCGTATCGCGGTTAGAAGCTAAGCATAATTGTGGCGCTATTTGACCTTCTTTCGCATCTGAGAAAATAAAAAGAGTAAAAAATATCAATATGCTGAACGTATGTGTACCATTTTTTTTGTTGTTGACATGCATTTTGTTTTGTATTTTATTTCATGTATTTTTTATAAAAATTTATGCTGTGTAGGTTGTTATTTGATTTTGCTTTACATAAGTTAACATTTTCTTTGTAAAGGTACTTAGCCAACTGTTGACACCTACACATTGTAATGGCTTCTTATTTATCTTTATAATGTTTTGTGGTAATATTTTAATCAAGTTTTATTATAATGCAAATATCTATACGTATATGTTTGAGTATAAATTTTTAAGTGATGCAAAACCTACGCTTGTTTTTCTGTGTTTGTCATCTGCTCTAAGGCCAGAGCAGCATCGGCAGCTGGTTTTTGTCAACAACTCTATTAAATTTATAGTAATTTTGCTGACCTTAGAAAAATAATAGGATAATTTTTTTAGTTTCAATGTACTTTTTTACCGAGTGACCATTTTTGTTAAGTAATTTATATTTTGAAGAACATCGATTTTGTAAAGGAATGGTAAAGAAAACGGCAACAGTAATGCTAATTATAAAGTATGTATAAGGTTATGATAATGATAATGGAATTGCTATTGATAATGAAAATTAAAATTGTAATGATAACAGCAGTTGTAACTACTTCTATAAGTAATGGTAATGGTAATTGAAAATGTAATGGTCATCGAAAATTGCATTGCATTGGTAATAGTAATTGTAATTAGCATATGATAGTATTGGTAACGGTCATGATGGTTGTTAAATTACAACGGTTATGGTAATTATGAAATAAAGGCAATGGTAATGATAAAGTAATGGTATTAATATTGATAACGACGGTTATAAAGGTTATCGAAACTAAAATTATAATTGCAAGGGTAATTATAATTATAATGGTAATTATAATTGCAATGGTAATTATAATTAAAATGGTAATTATAATTGTAATGGTAATTATGATTGTAATTATATAAGTACTGCTAGCCGTAATGCAATTTTTAATGCTAACCAGTATGCCAATTGGAATTGCAAAGGTCATTGTAATCATAATTACATAAGTAATGGTAATATGAATGGTAATTGTAGTTGAACTAATGTAGTAGTATTTACAATAGTATTGCTAATGGTAGCAGTAATTCTAATTTGTTGTGATAACAAAGCTAATGCTGAAGCAGCTAAAATATTTTCATTGACAATTACATAGAAAAACTCAGAAATATATTTATTTCTTTCAGGTGAGCAATTAGGTACCAGTAAATTATCTGCTTACCGAAAGTATGCCTCATATCTGCCGCTATCAGCATATCTGGGATTAAGCGACTATCTTAGTTACCTACCAATAGCCATCAAACCTTAGCTCCAGTTTGCTGCGTAAGTCTTTTTATTTTTTTCACACTCAATGGCTTCAATACAATGTTTTTCGCCAATTAAATTTACATCAAAGCAAATCAAGTGCCCAACAACATGACATCTTCATCAGGCGACAGACAACAGAGCAGAAAAAAATAGCATAAAGCATGCCACGCTGATGATACTAAATATATAGCAAGAAGTAAGGAGAAAAGGTATAAAAAATATTAAAAAAAGTAAATAAAAATAAAAAACTGCTCAAAAATAGAATCACTCTCACGTTGCTGCTTACGCTGCCAACCACATTACAACTTGATTAAAAAAAGCCTGCTGCATAATTAACACCGTTCTGTTGTTGTACAGGCGCTAGCGCAGGAGCAAGAGCGTACAAACACAGTAGCGCCACCAACGCCTTTAGCGTTGCAACAGCAACATCAAACTACAACAATAATAATAACAATAACGGCAACAACAGCACGATAAACCGCAGCCAGCTGCAAGCACAGGCGGTGAGTAGTGACCAGTGGCCCGTTGGCTGAGTTCATCGGAATTACCAACAGCATTCAAAGGACAACAATTACAAGGGTTTCATGAAGAAAATAGGCAAAAGAAAAAAAGGCGAAGGAAACAAAAAGTTTTTTAAAAACACTTGCAAAAACTAAGGAATAAATTATTAGTTAAATAATAATTAAAAAAAATTAGTAATGAAACCCTTGCCCAAAAAGGAGCCTTTTCATATATTGCTGCCGATAAAAGGATAAAAGGAGGCATATGTAAACCAATAAAAATATTTTCCTTTATATTTTATATTTCGTATTTTATATTTTATATTTTATATTTTATATTTCGTATTTCGTATTTTATATTTTATATTTTATATTTTATATTTTATATTTTATATTTTATATTTTATATTTTATATTTTATATTTTATATTTTATATTTTATATTTTATATTTTATATTTTATATTTTAAATTTTACATTTTATATTTTATATTTTATGTTTTATATTATATATTTTATATTTTTAATTTTTTATAAATTAGTTTTTATATTTTGTATATTATATTACATTTATCTTCTTCATGTTCTCTCTTCTTCGTCCCTCATACTTTACTCTAATTTCTCTCAGTGTGTCTTGGAAATTAGCATTACATCGTGATCACACTATTTGCATGCATACAACGAATGAACAAACTACTTACTGTCTGTGTGTCTGCCAATCTTACTTATACCTATATACACATATACACATATATAAACATGTTGTGCAAAGGGCAGTTTATATGTGCCTACTATATATTCCTCCTCCTAGAAAATGCACTCGTGTGTAATTTAATAATTGTGGTTTTACTCTTGAGTCGGGACATGCGCCAATTGCGCCTCCTTGCACATGAAGTCTCAGCTATCCGTTTAGTTGCATTTACATACACATACATGCTTATACCCTCATGTAAGTACATACCAAGCGATATACTAAGTGCGGCACAGTAGCAAATTGACATGCGGTTGCTTGGCTTATTTTTTTTTATTTTCTGCCGATTTTTATTTTTGATCAGCAAATCAACTTCAGCCACTATATACCACAGTTCAAGTAGCAAAAGAGTTAGCAAAATTTTCAATGTAAAGTAGCTGCTTGCCTGCTGCCTTGTCAAATTGACTGAAGAACTAAGGAAAACAGTTGGCGCGTGCAAAGGCTTTTTGTACAGTTAAGGAGCGGTGCGGGGTGTAGATGTGTCGGCAAAGGATGTGCTGCGATTGGCATGTAGCATGTCAACCAACGTGTGGCAAATATTTGCTTATAACCTTCTACCAGTATACTTGTGTGTTTGTATATTTACGTGTCTTGATTTTTTAATATTTATCTCGTGCATGTGCACTAATTGAAATTTTAAATAATTATTAGGCACGCAAAGTAATATAAATAATGAATGGATTTAATGACAATATCAAGTAGAAAAGTATCGGACTATGCTGGTTAAAAGAAAAAAAATTGAAAATAAAATTGAAAAATTAAAAAAAAAATGTAAAGAAGCTATATAAAAAATATATTTAACCAAAACAGGGGAGTATGTAAGGAGTGGCAGTTAAGTAAATTATGTTATAAGCATTCTATGAATATTAAGTAAGTACTAAATTTTGCATAAGCATAAGCAGCAATGAAATGAGTGAGATTAAGAAGTTTTGTTGCAAGAAAAAAAATTCTGCATCCCGAATTTTGGAAAAAATTTTATGATATTTTGATAACAGTATGTTTTATATAAAATAAAAAAAAAATACTTTTCTAATTAATAAACAAAATAATTTGTTTTCGGGATCCCGAATTTGGGTTTCATTTTTATTTTTATTTTTTAACAAGATGTATGTATATTTAGTAAAAATATTTGATAAAATCGGTGATCCCGAAATTTGTATTTTCAAAATCCCGAACTACACTTGCGCAGCTCAAAAAAATTTAAAAAAAAATTTAAGAGAATTTAATTAGTTTGTAAGACATTAAAAAATTTGTTTCTTCTATTTCTTTAAAAAAAAAAAAAAAAATTAAATTAATTTTCTTCTTCCATAAGGCTTACACTTCTCATATCAACTGTCCTGGAATTAATATGTATAGTTAATGGTGATTAAGTTAAAACTTGGATAGCATATGAAAATATTATCTTGACTTTGATAATCACACATCAGAAAATCAATGAATGTTGTCACTGCAAAGTCATGTGGTGTTTGATCGCAACTAAAGCGTACAGATTCTTCTCACTGATTATGTCTCTCTAAGTTGTACCTACATAAGTAAATATGTAGGTATTTGTATTTCCATTTCTTCAGTTCTGCATTGATTACGATGGCTGCTGACGAGTTTTTGTGGTTAGCATGCCTCTGCTAACGTATGCATATTTATGTTCTTCTCTGTCGCATGTTGCATGTTGCATGTTGGGGTTCTTACTCACAACAACGCCTCAGCGCCTTTTGATGTGAATGCGGTTTCTTTTCTTTTGAATTACACTACAGTTACAAGAGAAAATTATGTAACTTTCTAAGCTTTAAGAGAGAATAAATGGCCTGAAAGTTGTAACTATTATGGGTTTGAGATGTAGGTTTTCAAAGAAGATTAAAGGCAAGCAATGGACGTGAATAATAAGTAAAAGGTTTCAGTTATTTAAAAGTTATTTTGATTAATTTTCTTTTAATACGAAAAGTTGTTCGCATCTCTATTTATTTTCAAATTATTGGTAAGCCCATAAATATATTATGTGGGATAGATAGTGGAAGTATATTCGAAATGGTAGTAATAATAACGGTAACTAAACTACTAAATCAAAAATTGCGGTAATAGCAATGTCAACAATATTCAAATTGGTTATGGTTATACTAATGGTTACTCAAATGGTAATTGTTACTCAAACGGTTACTCAAATGGTAATGGTTACTCATATGGTAATGATTACTCAAATGGTAATAGTAATTGTTACTCAATTGGTAATGGTTAACCAAATGGTAATGTTAATAATAATCGTAATGGTACTGGGTGTAGTAATGAAAAACAAAGTGATAAAGATGAAGACTGCGTCAATAATAATGCTAATCGTAATTGTTTTTGTTAGGATAGTTGTTGTATTGAAGGTAGTCCTAATGACTACAGTAATGATAATGGCAATAGCTTACATTAATAAAATAGTTTATATTAAAAATCACAGTGGCCGTTCGCATTATTAATTATTGTGGTAATAATTTTTTGATAATAACATTACGGCAATCACCATAATGGCTAATTATTAGTTAAATCGATAGGTCTTAAAGTAAATGTAAAACTGACAGTGATAATTAATTTCTGTGTGTGTGAAAATTGTAGCCACTGCCTTGGTCGTTAAATAAATTTTGCCACTTTACATGATGGCAACATTCACACACACACACACACCGGCAGGTATATTAACTCATTAGCAACTACATTTTCGTGAGAAATTCAAAGCTCAGATTTTTCAAATCGAATTACTGCAATAAAAAAAGTGTAAATCAAACTCGTTTGAAAGTCAGCCAAAAATAAAAACTTCTCACCTCAAAATGCCTACTAACTACAACAAACGATTATAGTTTAACATTCTAAAACTAAAGGAAACTAAAGACTTAAGCAACAAACTCGTTTATATTTTCTATTCAACAAAGACCTCTGTTAATGCAATGCTTTCTAAATACATGCACATATATTTTTTTGTCTTATTGTCGACTAACGTCATCATGCCGTCGCTGCAAAAGTAGTTCAACAGCCAAGCCAACAAAGTGAACGAATTTATTAGCCACTATTGACCGCACAAAACTAACGACTCAATGCCGTTTGCAGAATATTCGTATGTAGTTGCAATGGACGTATGCCAACAACGCAGAGCGCTAAAGTTGGCAAACACGAATCCGCAGCGCCATCGCAACGCGTCGACATGACATAATCAGGGTGGGCGAACTCTTTGCATTTTAAGTATGAAACGGACTTTACCACAATGCCACAAGAGCGCTGCTGCTGAGCGCACAAAATGCGAACCAGTGCTGAAATTAAATAAACTATAGACAGAGCAACAGCAATAGCAGCGACAAGAAAAATGCGCTAGAATAGAAGCCGCCAAACGTATAACTGGTAGAGTTGAAAAAGCATATAAATCAAAAGAAGTTGAAAATGGTTTGAAAAAGATGGCGACAAGTAGCTGGTGGTAGCATGAGAAAACGAGTTGACAGACAAAACAGTCAGACAGAGGAATAGATGAACGAAGTAATAAGCGAATAGCGAGGGAAATGTAGAGACAGAGCAGCCGAACGATAGACAACAACAATCAGGCCAATAAGCGGCTAACTGACTGACTGACTGACTGACTGAGTGACTGACTGAGTGGCAAAGTTGCCCCGCTGTGGTGAAGGGGTGCACAGAAAAACGCTAGACAGTTGAGAAGGTGAATAATATTTCTTGGTAAGTCGGTTGAGGTGTGCGGCTTTGCTGCTTAAAGCGGCTTAAAAAATCAATGACTTCAAAAACATAAAAAAGTGACTGAAAAGCAGGTAAGAACAAGCATTTGAAGTCATTTAAAAAGCCTGTCGCAGACACCGTTAATTGGCCGATAGTTTGGCAAAATGTTTGCAAAAAAACTACAGACACATACACACAAACACACATATGTAGAAATAAATTTTACTAAGCTTATGCTTAGTCAAATTAACGTGCATGTAACGAGCACACATACGCACATATGTAAATGTTTGTATTTTCGTTTGTTGGCGTATAACCAGTTGCTAGAACAACCAGTCGCTGGTAATAGTGAACAGTTATAGTTCGCTGACGTATTGAGCGGCCAACTAATAGGACGTGGCGCTCGTTATGTGTATACAAACATACAGATCAACGTAAATACACACATATAAGTGCTTATATTGTATACATGCATCAGCAAGTAGTTGATAAGTAATGACTGGGAATGCGACAAATCTGTTGTGGCACTGCCACATTACAATAAAACAGCAGCCTGTTTGTTGCACTGTCCGGCCAATTTGTGTTGCACTAAATGTGAGTCATAAATAATGTGATTGTTTTGTTCTGACTAGCTTGTCTTGTTGTAGCTCTGCTTTTGTTTAATTTGCTTTATTTTTACATTTAAAAATTT